GGAAGGTTGGGCAATCCTACTTCCGTAGTGATACTGCCTCAGAAACCCAAGGAGGGGTCACTATGAGTCGGGGCCGACTCCACGGCACATAACAACAACAACAACAACAATCTTCCATTACTGTGGACTGAACTTTATCTCCAGTAATGCTTTCTGCCTTGGAGCAAAAAGTATATTTACACTCTGAATAGTGTTTCTTATCACTTAGAATTCTTATTTTACTCTTATTGAAAGGACTCTTTTGATTTATTTCAACGCAGATTTTTTAAAAATAATATATCACTATTGTATACATATAAAAGAGACAATATAAATTGGTGCATATCTTCCTAAAACTTTTTCACATATTTTGAGTTCAACTTTCATGAATTTTTCAACTTAAGTCACTGCCAACCATATTTTTCCATAAAATAATATCCTCTGGGCTATCAAGAATGTTGATAAGGCACCATTTCTTTTTTAAAAATTTTGATTGTGATTTGGGTGAAAGTTTACAGAGCAAATTCATTTTCCACACAGCAGTTCACATACCCTTTGTCTCATGACATGATTGCAATTTCCCACAATGCAACAGCTCTCTTCCCACTTCCTCCCCATAGTTACCTCTTCCCTGTGTCCTTCCCTCCCATGCTCTTCTAATGCAGCATTTCTTAAAAGGGTGCACAGCTGTTATCTCCATTCCACAAGTTTTGATGCTGGTACTTTCTTGATCTTACCAGAAGTTCTTAATTAGAAGAGTTCAGACAAAGCCTAGAACTCACATTCTTTATGCAAATAATCCTTAAATAGTTTGTTCATTGAAACATTGAGGGGTTATAGTGGTCTAAGTCATGACATTAATATTAACAATCACACCAGTGTTGTTTTGGGTGAGATTGTTATTTAATTGTTCAGATACGTGTCCATAAAGTCAAGAACTAGTATATATGGTAGGCTTCCAGATGCCTATTCCAAAAGACTTCTCCATCACTTCAGCCACCATCATCTACTACTTTAGTGCACTCACAATAACATTTTTGGGAAAGTTTTTATTTTTAGATATTGTTTTAAGCATAAAATTAAATATGATGGCAACTCCAGCAATTGGCAGCTAGCCATAACATCACTTTTGATATGCTGCTTTTTGCAATCCAAACTCATAATCTGGATCTCTTTAAGATCGTTTTGGATTGACAGTGTAATTTGAAGACATGTCAAAGAAAACCAACTCCCATTCCCAAGATTACTTAATTTCACACATATTTTCATTTTTCCTCAGTGGAATCATGCTAAAAGTTGAGTGCATTCTGCTGAAAGTCAGCAGGAAGTTCTGATAAATTGATACATATCTTCAGGATAATCCTGTGCAATGTATAATTCAGTTACTCCAACCTCCTATTGTGCTGAGATTTCTTTCATCTATTGTCAGAAATTTGGCAATTTATCTTGCCACTGTTCCTTTGTGTGGGATAGGAAATTCTTTATCATGAATCTCTGTAATACAATATAATTCAGCTTCACCTACTTGTAGCATTTTGCTTTCTTATGTCTTGCAAAGCACTTGATTATGGTTTCCAAGAAAATATAGAATTTATCATCATTTATACACTAAATAATGTTTTCTGAATAGATATCAAAGTCTGATGAACAAATCTGATGATTTGTTCTTATCCCATTATGCATATCCAATAGCTATTTCTTTCCATCTTAAATCATACCATTATATTTTGATGACATTTTAAATAGCAATTAAACTCAACATTTATTGTACCAACAGTGCACATAATTCAGCTGAAGTGACAACAACACGGATAGCTATGACCTTGTTTCATGTTGTGACTGGCACATGGCAAAAGCAATTAGAAGACCATTATCTTAGTGGTGACTCGGTGGTGTAAATGGTTAATACAAATGGTTAATGGCCTAGGCTGTTAACTAAGATGGGTGTTCCAAGTCCAGTCAGAGATGCCTCAGACAAAGGCCTGATAAAAAATTAGCTATTGAAAACCCTTTGTAGCATAGTTCTCTTCTGACACACTAGGGGTCGCCAGGAGTCAGAACTGACTTGACAGCAACTGGTAGTAGTGGTAGTTGTGGTGGAGGTGAAACATTATAAGCACATTCTGATTGCAGAGATGTTAAAATGTGTAGAATCAATGAAATATTCTAGTTTTTTTTCCTTTTTTTGGGCTATTTTAAACTACATTTCTTGGTTTTCCTTCAAATACCGTTTGCACTGCCCTCTCACCTAATTTATAAATTTGATTTGTCAGAAGAGTGACTAGTTCTTCTGCTCCTTTTCTACCAAATTTTCTGAAGAGTGCTAGAGTCAAGGGTAATGGACGTGAGAAGGCTTGCTTCAAAAGAATCAAGTGACCCAACCTGAGATTTCACAAGTAGACATTCTCTCCTTTGAGTTCTTTCCCCAACATCTCCCTTTAAAAGGCAAACACCACAATTACTAATTTCCTGTTCTATGAAGGTTTTATCAGACAGTGTTTTCTGCCTCCAGTCCTCACAACTGTAGGATGAGTGATGAGTCCCAGGCAGATACACAGAAAGAGGTATCAGGAGAGCCCTGAAAGAGGGAGAATAGTGGCCAAAGGAGATGTGTGGGCTTCTGAAGAAACAGCCAAAAACTCTCTTAGCTTGGGTTCCTCCAGAAGCTGACTCTGAGGCAAGGATTCCATTAGGGGCAATTTAACCCTTTCATGACATAGATCACCAAATATTTTCAGCCTCTCAGATTTCTTGGGAAGCAGCTATCTCAGTTGTACTATATGCTACTGCCTGGCAGTGACCTGAATCACTAAGTGAATCTGAAGAAATGGATTTCACCCCACCAATCCTACCACTAGAGTGCACTTGGGATATATGCATCATACATAATTATTTCAAAATCTATATTAC